TTCGTTCTGTCGCTTATCGCGGCTCCTCTGCTCGTCTCCTCTTCCTTCACGCTTTCCTCCTCGCTCTCTCTTACACTCTCGCTCCAGCTTCATCGTCTGCTTTCTTCACATATTTTATCTCTGCTTTCGTACTTGGCGGTCTGCGTTCCCTTCCTCCTTCCTTCCTTCAGTTTATTTTTTTAAAAAAAAGTCCAGTGAGTCACTGGTGACTCCACATGTTGTGACCTTCTTTCTGCTTTCAAAACGGAGCATTTTCATCTCATCCGCCACGCCCACTCCTCCTCTCAGGTCAGCCTCATCCCAAACGAGAGTGAGTCAGAATTGATTCGCTAAAAAAAGTATATGTTCAGGGATTTGTTGTGCTGAAGTGAATGCAGGCGCATCATATCTGAGAACACTGGATTTAGAAACACAGCACACATTCGTCTGTTTTCTGTTCCTTTGTGGGCTCCAATGAAGCACAGCGTGGAAGCCGTTATAGCCACCCCGACCATGAATACTACACGGACATGATCCCTCATTGACTTCCCAGCCTCGTAATGGGTGTAGTTGGTTTTGCTTGTAGCCACAAAGGCCTTTGAAATAAAGCAGCCAGTACAGATGTTCCTTCCTTCACTCTGCAGGAACTGAGGTTTGTGCTGCAGCACACATCAGGCAGTTGGTCTCATTCGGTAAGGCTGGAGTTGTTTGTGATGAGATACAAAATATGCTGATTATTAAGTTAAGGCCACCTGGGTTGGCTGGAAGACTGTTTACTTAGCCTAGCAGGCCGAAGGACACTGTCTCAGCTGAACTCTGGACACGCACACACATACATATACATTGATATGCACACACTCATCCCCCCTCCCTTTCCAAACGCCTTCGATGCTTGTTCCCTCTTGGGAACACGGCGGGTCTGAGCCCGCGCTGGAATGGTAGCGCTGGGCAGGATGGCTGCTGTGTTTGCTTCGGATTACTCCTCACCCCCCACCCGACCCTGTGGCTTGTCACGTGTTCCATAATGTTGTGCTGTGGACATTTATGTGCTTTTTTTGTGCTCATGCTGTCCTCCCAGGAGCCCAGCATGAGTAGAGGTCTCTTTTTTCCTCTTGTACTTTCCCATTGTAGTGTATATTTCAGTGTTTTTTCTGTAACGCTACCGATCTCCGACCTGTATCCCCATGTGATGTCTGTGTTGTGTGTGTAAGGTCGGGGGGGTCCTATTTCACTGCAGGACAACCTGCACGTGGCGAATAAAGCCTTGATTGATTATTAATTGTAAAATATGGCCAAGTATTTGCAATTTATAAAGATGACTTTTAGTATAACACCGGTTTAAGGTTGGCGCATAAAGTTTGTTACATAAACGTCTAACTGTCGGCATTTTGGTCTGTGAAGAGAATCAAATGGACATTTTTCATTAAACTCGACAACATTCAGTTTGTACGGCTTGTGTTGACATGGAGACAAAATTAATTTCAGGTTGAGTCGAGGCTGCCTCACAAAAATGCCCTGAAAAAACAGGACGTTTCAGTTGTGAGTCGATGGACACAGCTCGTGTAAAATCACACTTTGGTTTGTGAAGTTTGATTAGAAAACCCGAGATGACTCGTTGGCTAACAACTTGGCAATCACCAATCATTCGCTAATGAGTATGACCTACGTGGGGTGACGTAGCTCAGAGGTGGAGCAGGTCATCTGCTAACTGGACGGTTGGTGGTTTGATCCCTGGCTGCTCCAGTCTGCATGCCAAATATCCTCGGGGAACATACTAACCCCAACTTAAACGTCTGTTAGATCAAAAGCACTTACATTAAAAAAGCACAGCGAAAAGTGCTGGTGTGACTCGTTGAATGGGGGAAGTTTTGTAAAGAACTACATGAAAACCAAAGTTTGAATGAGAAATTCTTCAATGGCCAAGTGAATCACCTGATGTCAGCTTTTATAGCACGCTTTTCATTTACTGAATACAAAACTGAAGGCACAAAGAGCCACAAACGCACAGGTGCAGTAAAGGTCTGGCCGAGCATCTCAAGGGAAGAAAACGGTGTTTGGCGATGTCCTTGGATTCTAAAGATTTATCCGGTTCGTCCAAGTTCAGCTCAAAGTTTAAAGTTCGCTCACATTTTGTTTGTGGCGTCTGTTTCCAAAAGCCTTTGGAGCCACGGACATTTGGCTGATCTCACATTCGTGTTCTTGTGCACCCGTGGACGTTTGCAGCTGTTCTGCTAGCTTAAGTCAGAGGCTGACGGCGTCCGCTCGTTGGGTCTCCTTCAGCATCGAAACGATCGTCACTTAGTTTGATTTTTATTTCAGAGAAGTGGGCAGAGTGCAGATTGGGCCATTGGTCGAATCACTTGGACGGGCCTGAAAGGATAAAAGTAATCACTTAATTTGAAGTCAGGAAAGTTTTTATCTTTACTCATTTTTAATGAACGTGTTCAAGACTTCTTTGTCATTGTTGTTTTTTCTTCTTGCCTCTAATTGGTGGCTGTATCAATGAAACACAGACTCTGTTCTCACCTTTATTTGGTTGACCCAGCGGGGATTTGCATCAGTTTACATTCTGTATGTCACTCGTGTGCACTTTGCACAGGCTGTAACCTGATATTACGGCTATTTGGACCTGACAGCGTCTCCAGCTTTTCAAAAGGTACAAAGTTTCTTTTACAGGTGGAAAGAAACTTTAGCAAAAGTGGTTCAGATGAAACATTTGTGCATTTTGAATTTCAAACTGCAACTTACCAGATTTAGAAGTTGCAAGTTGAATACATCCATTCACCATTTACTCACAGCTCCATGCAATCATGTCATTCCACTCATCGTCCTCTCATTAATATGCTGAAATCTGAGATGCTTCCTTTAATGAAACGTTCTTGCAGGATAGTTGATTCATAGACTGATCCCTGCTAAAGTTGGGAACGACGGAGGAAAACAAACCCAGCTGTTATTCACACATTAGCCGAGGCTTCCCTCAAAAAGCGTATCGATCCAGAACTGAAGCGAACGTCCAGGCGCTCATTTTTCTTTGTTTGCCGTAATGAAAGCTTTTCCACACACTGTTGACAGAAACTCTTTGCTGACATCAGAATCTCGTTTGAAAGCGAACATTGAAGCTTAATTGGGTGTTTGGGAGACACCCAGACATTATATTTTGACTGGTCGTAGTTGAGCTTGTCAGCTCTTTGAGTCCCTCTGCAAAGTAAATACGGCTAAATTGGAGCGTGTTTTCGCTTCTCGAGAAATATTCAGGCCGGTAAAAGTGTCATTTACCTCCTACGAGGCCACCGGACAAAGCGCCTGAACATCTCGCTCTCGTCTGCATCGTATTAATGACCGAACCCATCTCGTCCGTAGCGTCCTGTCATTATGAAACATTTGGTGGTTATTTTTAGCGCCTTTTCTCCTCTGGCACAGATGACTCAGTGCACACTCAGTATTTTAACACTTTGTACGTGCCTTCATGTTGCTTGTGTGCGTGTTTGTGTTTAGGAAGAAGTGGAGGCGGAGAACAGGCGGAACACGAGAACCAAACTGACGCCAAAGCTGACCCCACACCGGGAAGAGGTGAGAACCACAGAGAGACGAACACATCGACGTGATGTGCAGACGCACACTGAACATCACTAATTCATCGTTTCACTTGAACAAAGCCTTGAACAGTGCAGCGTTTCTGCTGCTCGCCGAAGTTCACGTGATGATATTTCATGTAGTAAATGTAGGGGATTGAATTGACCTGTTTATCGTCTGATCCACCTCATGTTTAGTTTTAATGGAGACTCAGGGATGCTGACAAAAAGCAGCTTTTGAGTTTTGATTACGTGCACATCAGCACTATGGTGAATTTAAACATGTCCATCCACATGACAGGACGCAGCTCAGCTCCACATGCAAACAGCCCGTCATCGCTGTGCTTCATCTTTAATGTAATTCTCTTACATGAGAGAATACTTCCATCCAGGGCTGCTATAAAATAGTGTGCAAATACTGATAACAGTGCAAATGTTTGCAATATAAGAAATAAATGAAAAATGTAAACATCTATGTTTAGTGAACTTTGCAGTGTTGCTCTGTGGTGTTTACACACTGTGTCTGACTCATGAACCCATAATGTTTCCACACCACTGAAGTTTTTTTACCTCTTTTCAACCAACAGCAGTCACTCTCCTCTCCAAATAACTTCTGCTTAGCTTTCCGAGCTTCCCTCGGGTCCTCTTAATCAGCGGTCTCCAACCCCTGGGCCTCGGACCGGTACCGGTCCGTGAGTCGTTTGGTACCGGGCCGCGAGAGCTGAGGCTCAGGTGTGAAATGTATAGTTTTCAGGGTTTTTATCGGTTTTCAGCGTTATTTTGTTATCGTTTTTATCGTTTACTCGGTTTTCCTGGGTCTTTTCACGTGTGTTATGAATAAATCTTCTTTTTTTTGGTACTGGTACTAGTTTTATTTTGTTGTATTTATCCGCGACACCTTAAAGGCCGGTCCGTGAAAATATTGTTGGGCATAAACCGGTCCGTGGCGCAAAAAAGTTTGGGGACTGCTGCTCTTAATTGTTGTGACGCGTGTTTGAAATGCAGAGAGGTGCGCTCGATTTGTCACACGGAGCAGTGAGAGTAAAGCACGAGGGAGGGGCTAATAATCGGCTCGGTCATTTTTAATGATCGTTGAAAGCCCAGATCGTAATCGTGATTAAAATTCGATTAATTGAGCAGCCCTACTTCCATCCAGGATCAATTTACTAATGGTCTCTGACTGACGGCTAGGTTAGCGGCGCCCCTTTCCTTCTCCTGTCCGGTGGTCAGGCCACCTGTAGAGCCTGTAACACGTGAAGAGCTGCTTCATGTGATGCTGCAGTCCTAGACGGTGGAGTTAGTCAGACAGCTGATTGTGCTGCTCAGTTGTTTGATGACGGTATTTGAAGAGGAGCGACTGTTAAACAGGATTGTTAAATAATGAAATTAAAAAGCAGAGCGCAGATGCACCCACACACCGTGACATCACTCTGTGGAAAACACCTCAACTGTCAGACAGTTTTCCAGTTTAAGCGTCATTATCTGCACTCACCCAGACCCCCGACGCAGCCCTAACGAGAAGCTGTTTCGTACGTGCTAACTGTGCTTCGCTGTTCTTTGATCAGAGCTCTTCCCCAGCGGGTCGTCACGACTCCCAGATCAGCGTCCGCAGCAGAAAGGAAGGAACGCTGCAGAAGATCGGAGACTTCCTGCAGAGCTCCCCCACGCTGCTCGGCACCAAAGGTCAGCACGCGACTCGTTATTGTCGGTGACGTTAAACTCGAACTATCTCTGTTGAAGACGATCGCGGGACTGAAAAATGTTCTTTATTTCGAGCGGCAGAAAGCGATGGTGCGATTGACGAAAAGTGGGTTTAAGGAGTTTTCTGTGCTGCACAAAAGTCACATTTACAGTAAGTGCAGAAATCTGAAATGTTCAGGTTTTTGCAAAGAGGAAAGTTAAGATCACAGCAAAGTGAGTAAGAGGGCTGGTATTCACACGATCCCACTTCCTCCCTTTACAGTCTCAGACAGATTTTGCTGGTTTGTCTCCTTCTCTGTGCTCTGTGGTGCACTGCAGTCACTCCAGCAGTCAGACAGGCCCCAGGCACGCCGACTCGCTCCCGACGCAGCCTCCCGGCTGTTTTTAATTGCCTGCGTGTAAGAACCCAGATGTGGCGGCTCTTGTCTGTGGAACAACTGAAAAGGTCAGAGTGTGGAATCGAGGAGGCATTTTTAAAGGAGCCCGGTTCACTTACAGAACAGCCCGACCGGAAGTTTCTGGCGGTCGCTGGTGCTTTTATGAAGTGCGACGCTGCATTTTAATTTGTAATTCATCAGGATGCAAAAACACGTGCAGTGGCCAAGCCTGCATCACACATCAGGAGCTGTCCTTCACTGATGCAATGTTGCAGAAATATAAAAGTGATGGTCTGAATGTCAAATATGATGGAGGAAAAGGAACACTTTTAATTTCAGAGCTTGCTGGATCTCACCACACACACACACACACACACACACCAGAGCTTTCCCACAGATACAGTAGATCCCCTCTGCTGTATTTTATTCATTCATCTGCAGTTATTTTTACTGCGAGTCCAGGAGGCAATCTTATCGGTCCAGATGGGTTTTAGGAATCTTCAAATTTATCTGTGAGTGTTTGGGGGGAAAGAAACGCAGGGCACACAAGGACAAACCTCAGAGCTCCTGCCGGAGTTATTTGGAAAAGCATTGTGCAGGTTTGACAGAGTAAAAGGGCAAGGGCAGTGAGTTTGGGACACTAATGATGGCTTAAAGGAGAGAGTTAAGACAGCCAGAATCAACCAGAGTCGTCTCTGTTTTATCCTCAGGGACCCACCGTTTCACTCGGTCAATTAATTGTGGCCTCAGGGCTCCAAGGCAAGGTTGCTGTCATCTGCAGCCGTCTGACCCACCCTTCATCTCTCTTCTCACCTTCGCTCGTCTTTTATCTTCCTTATTTTGTTTCCTCCACTACTTCGCTCTAGTTTTCAGTCTCCTGTTTCACCCCGCTCATCCTCGAATCCTGAGTCCTTCTTCCTGCAGGAAGAGCTTCCTGTTTAACCTGGAGAGCAAACAAGTTTCCATAATGGACCTGACGGTATTTAGCTTGTTTGTTTCAGCTGGATAAACACGCCGTCAGCTTTGGATTAATTTGTCTCCCGAGTCGTCTTCACTGATAATTCCTGTTTAAAGTTTTTAGGCTTTAAATCTGCGATTAAA